GATTCTTTACGTAATGAATTTCGTGAAAACTTGTTTAAATAAATAAAGTATCATTTGGTGGATGTAATCATAAGTCTATATTTTATCAGTCTAATAATGCATGGAATTTGATATGGATATAATAAATTTGACATGACTATTAATGTTACCTTGGAAAATTTAATATAATTGAAGCATATAATTCAAGTGATATTATCACGATAAAGTAAATACGCGTTGTATCAATGTTTTGTCCCATTGGATTTTTTATAAAGATTTTTAACAAAACAACATTTGTAGCGTACTTAAAAGAGTAGTGTACCTTTTCTCCTTCATTAGAATTTTTCTCACAGGATTTTTCCAAATAATGTATTAACAAGGCATATTTTGTAGTGAATGTCCATAACATATAAGATATTTACCATCAAAATAATACTCTGACATATATGCGATTCTTAAAAAGATCGACAATGGCCATTTCAAAATATCATGTTGCTACAGTTATCAAATGTTGATAAAATATCTCGTATGGAGATGATGTTATTTGAAGATTGTACAAGACAACATGCGACATACTTCACCAAATTGTCATATTGAAAATATTGGTGTACAAGACAATGATGAATTAATATAAGAATTGAAATTAGGGGAGTAGCTATGCTTTTTTTCTTTGGTCAAATTTTTCCTACTGAATTTTCTTGACAAGATTTTAACGAGGCAGTATTTTTATTACTCCAAATTATTTATACTCTTTTTTCATTTATTGGCATTCTTGTTTAATCAATTTTTTGTCAAATAATATTTCAATAAGATAGTCTTTTTTTGGATAAGGTTTTCAATAAGATAGTCATTATATAAATAGTCATTTAAATGGGAGTGTTATAATTATAGTAATATTTTATGAATGACTTTTATACGCTTACAAACATAGTTATTATAACCGTTGTATCTCTTGTAACCCTAATTATTCCTTGTAAATATGAGATTTTGGTTCTTAATAAGATACACAAGTCTATTGATTTATCTAATTTTATTTTTTTCCTCTCTAGTTTATTATAAAAATAATGAAAATCCATTTTTTTTTATTCCAAATTAATCTGGTTTATTCTTCATTTTACCGTCTATTTCTTGGGTTCAACCTTGCATACTTGCCTCTTGGATATCAAAGGCTTGTATTCCTTCCACTTCCAAAAGCAGTTCTGTGTTTTCAAAGAAACTTGATTTTTTTTTTTTTGTAAAATTATTATGATTATTATCATCATCATCATCATCATCATCATCATCACTAGTTTAAAATATATTTTTAGTTTTATAAAAATGTGTAACATTATTAAATATTTTTCTAAGATTTTGTATTTATTATAGTCACTTTAAAATGAAAAGAAAAATCAATTTCTATTAAATCTTGAAATTTATAAATTTACAAAATAAAGCATAGTCAATATGATAGAAAGCGAATTAATTTAATTAACTAAGCTTGAAATTGATTTTTAATTATAGAGTTAGTAATAGGAGAAACTAAAAGAGTGTGTTTGATTGGTTTTATTTACCATGAAAATTGTTATTTTTTCACTCAAATCCCTACCTTTTGGATATTTGATTGACAAAATTTTTCCATGAAAACTATTTTTCAACTTTCGGTCATGTATCATTTTTTCTTTAAAAACAAATAAAATATTTTCCTTAGGGAGGGGTGATTTTAATTTTTCTGGTAATTCACTCTATCTTTCTCTCTTTTATCTATCCACACTCTCTCATCTACCTATCAATAAAAAATAGACAAGTATAATATTTTCTAAATTGAAAATTAAATCAATCAAACGCATTTAATTAATAATTTTCAATAAATAAGTTCTAGACAATTCAATTGTTTAGAATTTATTTTATTTTCACACGAATTCTATGTTTGTAATCAAATGCACCCAAAAGAAGAATATGATACACTACATTATGCGGCTTCTACAAAATCTAGTATAAGAGGGGTAGAATTTTTCTAGAATCATTTTGTTTTAAAAAATTTAATAGGCGCATAAAGTTAAATTTTTATTTTGAAAGGAAATTTTTTTCTTATCAGGGTGTATTCAATTGAGATTTTTGAAAACTTTGATGGTTCTTTTTAAGTGATGACTTTTGTGGATTTCGTGGATCTTTTTTAGATTTGTATATAATTAGTGGAAGTTTTTCGTAAACTTCTATGAACTTTCATTTTAAATTTTTTATAGACTTTTGTAAAATTTGAAAGATTTTTGAAAACTTTCATTTAAAATAGAATTTACATCGATATAGTAAAATGATGTGAGATTCTCACATAGGAGGTGTTAGTTCTTACAATTTCCCTTTTCTTTCCCTTTCTTCCCATATAATAAAAAATTTTGAAAAAAAATAAAAATTTAAAACCTTAATTAAATAAAGAATAATCAAAATTATACATATATATATGATTCAATATTACTAGTATAGTATAGTTTTAAAAATAAATAAAAGTCAATATATTTAAATTTAATTATAAATCTTTCATATAAAATTTTATAATTTAATAAAAAATTAGTATTCTCACAAAAAAATGAATGAAAAAAGGAAAAAAAAAAAAGTTACAAGAATCCAATTTAATTTTTTCATAGAAAATAGAGATAAATAGTAAGAGAGAAAATGAAAGAAAAATAGAAATAAATATAATCAATAGAAAAAATTAAATTTTAATCATACATGTTCATAGAAGGTTAAAAGAAAGAAAGATTGAAAAAAATAATTTTATTTTTTTATTATTTATTTTTTGTGAAAGTCTCTCAAAATCTCGTGATTATTGAGAAACAAATTTTAAGATTTTATATGAGTACTTTTTGCTTAAAAATTTGTACTTCAGAAACTTTTATAAAAGTCTCTAGAAGTCATTAAAATTTGAATATCCCAAGACTTATAAAAACTTTTAAAATATTTTAATTGAATACACAATAATTTTTAAAGATTTTTTAAAAGTCTATAAAAGTTTCAATTAAACACACCGTGACTTTTATAGACTTCTTAAATTTTTTTTTTTTACATCAATACTTTTAGAGAGTTTCAAAAAGTCTCAATTGAATACCTATAAACTTTTTAAATCTCAAAAAGTCATTAAAAATTTCAATTGAATACACCACCTTAAATTTTGGACCCAGAAATTTTAAACCTGAGACAAATCACCTCACTTCATTTCAGGCCCATGTAAACATTAGTAGATCATTTGTTGGAAATGGTTTAGTAAATATTGAAAAGGCTTTGAGTTCAAATTTCAGTAGGAATCGCAGTTTGAAATTTACGGGACAAAATATATTCACATTCTATTTTGCAAGATAATTAACACGATATATTTATCTATCGAATATGATTTTAAATTGAATGAAATATTTGATGTCGAAATATCCATTCGAAACTTGGAAAAGTGAAGAATTTGATTTGATTGGAAATTTTGAACTCTTGTCCTACGTAGGAAATCTTAAAAACTTTTATATGATTTATGTAGTGAAAGTTTGGCAATATGGTTTGGGGTTCAAAGGGTATCACTAGTTTTTGGAAGGAGAAGATCTATATTTTATTGGATTCGTTCCTATGCCTACAAAATGCACGTCATCCATCCGTCCGTACAAACGGCTCGTGCATGGGTCAATTCTTGTGTGAGTGGGTTTCTTACATATAATTTTTGGACAAAATTTATTTAAATTTTTGGACTAAAATGTAATTAATCAGTTTCTTGGTTATTTAATTAAATTACTTATAGCGGTAATTTGAATTCCAACCATTGACTTATTTTTGAGAAATTTTCTATCTATGATAGCATGTGTATGACTGCTATCGACGTGCCTTTTTCCCTTTTTATTATTATTATTATTTTTTTAATAGCTTCTACAAATGTCTATTAACCGACTTATCATACACAGGGTTTCATTATGAAGAGAGCCGTCGTTTTGCTTTTCGAACAATCCCACTATTGGGAGAATTAAAGCAACGATATAAAATCTTTCATTTATTAGCAAACTTTGCTCATATTTTTCATTTGTATCACAATGAGTACCAAACTTTAAAAAATTCATAACTCAAGTCCAAAATGAAGGTTTCCGTCAGTTTGAATACAAAATCGTCAATTAACTCCCAAAAAAAAAAATTAATTATTTTCCCCAAATAAGGCGGGGACATTTTGGATAGAACAACACATTTTCCTTATTGAATCAAAAATTTAAAAAAACAAAAAATAAAACCAAAACCCATCCTCATCTCTTTCTTCCCTAACCCCTCACCCCCAAAACCAATACCAAAACCAAAACCACTCCATCCAATCGCCACCACCAACAACTACCCAAGCCGTTATTGTAGCAGAAAAAGAGACCCCACTAACATCGCCACCGTAACCTTCCCAAATATTTTCTACCACAAATCGACCCACAACTAATTCACCAAAAATCAACAAAAGAAGTCCCCGAAAGATATCGACATAAATCACACTAAATGTAAAATCTAGTTTGACAATATTGGATGGCAACTCATACTTGGCAACATCATATTCATCCATTTCATAAACTATTTTTAAATCAATGGCCCAAATTTTGACAACACAGACATTGTCAACAATTATTGTAAAGTTTAATTGTACAAATAGTCAGCGGCGAATCCAAGATCGAAGTCCAGCTAGGGCGGGTTGACCGTTGACTATTGACCGTCGACGATCGAACTAGGACTGGTTGACCGTTGACCATCGACGATCGTAATAGTCCGATCGTTTAATAAAATTAGTTATATAATATTAAAAGTTATACAATATATATGTAAATGAACTGAAGCATCAAAATCGTATACATATGAAAATATACTTCAATACAGCCCAAAATAGTAAAAAAATACGATACAACCTTACTCAATTACTTTGTAACTGTAAACTTCGGCAACTGTATTCTACGGGGTCTCATGATTTGAAAACGTTGCAATATTAACTCATCCTCAAATTTTTTAAAAATAGCTTTCTCCACGTAAACCACTAAATTGTCATTCAATCAGACATCTCCCATTTTGTTGCGCAAATCACTATTGATTAGATTTATACCAGAAAATACCCTTTCAATACTTGTAGTTGCCACAGGTAATATCAATGTCAAGGTGAGCAACCTATAAACCAATGGAAAATAACAGGAACTTCCAGTTTCAATCAATTTCTGAGCTACACAAAATATGCTATTGAGATTAAAGAAAGCTTCGTCCATTCTCACGAGCAAAAGAAACTTATCAAGTTGAAGTCTAAGTAATAAAAGCTTTTCACTATTGAAGTCCAAAGGATAGAATTGAGCAAGACGTAGCAATTTATTCTTATCAAAAGCTGCAAATGAATCTCCTAGCCTTAAACATGAAATGCAAGTAAAGAGCTCAGTAATTGTTTCTGGAAAACGATCATTCAACTCTTGCAAAATTGAGTCTATCGCATGACAATACAAATCAATATAAAAGCGATGAAAATAAGTCACCTACTAAGCTACACGCCTAGGTTGACCTTTCACTACTACAATATCCTCCATATTAGGCACTAAAATATGTCTATCAACACAAAACTCAATCACCCTACTCGACAAAGTATTCCAACCATTCTTTCTCAGGTTCTGCAGTGCACACTTACACAAATTCAATAACCTTATTGCATTCTGAATATCCTGATCCTTTTTCTATAAGGCTTGTGAAAGGTCGTCTGTAATTGCAAAAAATTCAAACATAAAGTGGAGACTGAACACAAACTCAAAATCTTGAATAGCATTCATCTGTCTTACGGTCGAAGATTTTTGATCTGAATGTATGCCATCTTCTAATATATTTTCAAGAACATCTATGATAGCATTAAACATATTAATGAAACGAGTAATTGTCAGTAGATGTGAGCCCTATCTAGTATCACCAGGGCGTGCCAAACTCATTTCTTGAAACTGACCACTTCCACTAGTAAGTTTCCCAATATTAAACTTCTCCAGAAGATTAGCTTAAAAACTTGTTCGAAGAGCATCTACACGCTTACATGATGCACCAACCAAATTTAAAATAATAGCAAGTCCGTCAAAGAAATCACCAAGCATACAATTCCTACGTGCGACAGATACAATTGCCAACTGAAGCTGGTGAGCAAAGCAATGAACATACATAGCATGTGGGTTCTCTCTTAAAATTAAAGCTTTCAACCCATTGAACTCACTTGACATATTACTTGCTCCATCATAGCCTTGACCTCTCAGGCTAGATATGCTCAACCCATGTGTAGAAAACATTGCATCAATGACATCCTTCAGTGATTGGGTACAAGTATTAGTGACATGGGATATACCCAAAAAACGCTCCTTCACTTGCCCACTTTTATCAACAAATCTCAAAACAACTACCATTTGTTCTTTCATAGAATTATCACGAGCCCATCAACCAAAATTGAAAACAAAGAATCACCTATCTCATTGATAATAGCCCTTGTCATCTCTACGGCACAACAATTAATCAAATCCTTTTGGATGGTTGGTGAAGTCATTTGGTTATTTCCAAGAGCATTACTAAAATAATACTTCTTTAATTTCTTTACAACGAGCTACATACCAGTTCAGTAACTTAATTAGATTTCCTCTATTAAGAGACTCTTTTGATTCATCATAACTACGAAATGACAATCCTTGCCTAAAGAGGAATCTAGTACAATCTAGCACTGCATTCAACCTGGTCCTATAACTTTGTTGTTGACTACTACTTTGGCTAGACATAACATAGGAGATACTTTGCTTTTGATTCATCAAGTTGGTACACTCCGCAAAAGCTTGATTATGAGCACTATCAAAGAGACCGACATGATCTTTCAATGTCTTTTTGTGCTTCCAATCCCTAAAGCCGGTCTTAGTAAATATATGGCCACCCCCTTGACCCCCTCTATCGGGTTTGAACAAGTAGAAATGCAAACAATACGTCGCATCCTTTTCTATACTGTATTCCAACCAATGAAATTCGGAGAACCATTCTTTTCGAAAACATCTATTATCATTTCCCATTGGTCTTCTTGGAAAATCATGTCCATATGGTTGACAAGGACCCTTCTCCAAGTATCCTATCCTAACATCATCTTTGATATTAGGATCATACGACTCGATAGGAGGGCGTATCCCTGGATCAGATACAAGATCATCTACATTAAATTGAGCCCAGGACTTCTTTGTCTTATTCAATAACTCTTGTGCTCAACTAGAATCACTGGTGGGACTAGATGCACAACTAGAAGTAGAAGAATTGGGTATGGACTTTCGTTTTGATTGAAAAAATCGTTCCATAATCTGCAAACGTCCCAATTCATTTTTCAATTACAATTGATTAAAAAAATAACCAAGTACACACTGGTTATAAAACCAACAAAGAATCAGATTAATTGACACAAGAACTAAAGAACATCATGTTTTCTGGTGGTTTTTATAATGTTCCAAGTTCCAACCCTATTCACAACTATGGGTGGTTTGATCTAATATTTCAAGAATTGAAATTGAACCATAAATTTCGATTCTTTTGTATTCAATCACTATAGAAAAATTAAAATCGAAAACGTTATGATTCCGGCCTGAAGAATAGTGAATAGATCATCATTTTTTTATGTATGGGTGTTTTATTTTTCAAATATATTAGTTTTAATTTTCTTCGAGCCTCTGCCGCTTGAAGATTAAGACAATTGATTTTATTTGGTCCTCAATTATCCTGAAATGCTAATGGAGTCATGGGACATTCACTTGGCTTTTAGCATTGGAAAATATAGTCTCTTCATAGGGATGCACACGAGTGGAGTTGAAAATAACTAAATACTTGGAAAACTTTATTGATACCAAATGCGTTAATTGAAGTCAAGCTAATTTAAGCAAGCTAGGGGGCTATTGAGCTCTCAGTTGCTAGGTCCGATTCTAGATTTCAGTTCAAATCTACAAAAATAAATATTCTTCTAAAAATTCACAATTCAATATTTCAATCAATGGCATTAGGCAGTAGCCAGTAGGCAGTTGAGAGAAACTGGGAAAGCCGAAAAAAAAAATAGAACAAAATGAAAATCCAACAAAATCCTAAAAAATAAATATTCTCCTAAAAAATTCACAATTCAATCAATGCAACTTAAGTACAGTAACAAAATTCAACAAAATCAAAATAGCCAAATCAAAATAAAACAAAACCAATAAAAGAACAAATAAAATAAAATAAAATAAAATAAAGAGGGAAAGCCGAAAAAAAAGAGTTACCACACTTACCAGTCGAAGTCGGGCCTCTCGGCAACAGGAGTAGGCGAGCCTTCAAGTTCGAGTTCCGGTCTGCAGCGATTGGCACTAGATTTTTTTGAACCAAAAAATGAAAGTGAAGAAGAAGATCCCTCCCAGTCCCAACCGGCAGCCAACAAACTGAACGAAGTCACGATTCTGAAATTGAAAGAAAGGGCAAATGAAATGGGTATTAATATGGGTCAGGGTAACGGGTTTGGACTTTGGATAAATTAATTTTACTCTTGGGCTAAATAGTAAAAGGCCCAACATTTTGTAAAAAAGCCCAAACCAACAAATAAATAAATAAATAAAAATCAAACGGGTTTGAGGGTTTCCACCTTCTTCTTCTCTAGGCGACTGTCGGCGACCCCACTGGTGACACTACTCGATGGCTCTGCAGATTCCAGCGGAGCCAGCATGCACGGCCGCACCCCCTCGTCGGGTGCTGGCTCCGCGCTTGCAAATAGTATAATTGAATCAACTAATTGGAAGTCCTTTTTTGTGAACTGGATTTTGAAAGGAATTTTTCAGAGTTGAAAACAAAAATTATTTACGCATTTTCAATTGTTTGATCTGGTTCTACCACTACTGTCACTGTCTCCTCTTCAACTCCATTGAATGGAGAATTGTGGAAAGACAAATGACTTGCAATTGAAAGTAGGAGGTCACTATTGCTGATAGATTACTAACATTGGTATCTGGGTTGCTACTTGTCGAAGCTATATATATACACAATTGAATACTGCACAAATATCACTAAAATTTGGCCTTCTCATTATTGTAATCTTGCTAAATCACGTAGATTAAATCAGACCAGTTTTCATTTTCATTAATTGTAACCACCCACTCTTTTGGAGTTTATAAGTTGTGGGTGTTGAACTTTGATGACGAAAAAGAGAATAATGAGAAATTCAAGGAGAATTGGAATAAAAAAGTAGCAGCAGAAGCCAAGAGCAAAGGGAGGAATGGGAGGAGTCGTCAAATGGAGTGGAAGATCTTTTTTTGGGGCTGCGATTCAATAATATTGACAGAGGTTTCAAAATGGCCGGGGGAATTGGACGTGTTTGGATTTGAACTTGGATTAGAGTGATGGTTGTGCTAACGTTGGGTGGGTAGTGGTGGCTGTTGACGGTGGTGATTGGATGGAGTGGTTTTGGCTTTTGGGAAGAAAGTGGTGAGGCTGGGTTGTGATTTTATTTATTGTTTTTTAAAATTTTGATTTAATAGGAGAAATGTGGTTTGTCCAAAATAACCCTGCCTTATTCGGGTAAAACAATTAATTTTATTTATTTATTTATTTTGGGAGTGAACTGACAGTTTTGGTGGTCAAATTGATGAATAACGTCATTTTGGATTTGAGCTGTGAATTTTTTAAATGTTGGATTTTCACGTTGGCACAAATAAAAGATATGGACAAAGTCTACAACTAAATGAAATATTTGGTATCGTGACTGCAATCCCCCCTCCCGCACTATTCTAAAAGGTTTGTAGAGTGTTCAAACAGTTACGAATAAGTCTATAAATAATCTACATTGATGCAAAAAATTTACATCATCTTCATTGTCAATATTCATGCTTTTAAATTCACTTTTTTCTCTAATTTCGATATTACTTTTCGAGTGTAAAAACATTGTATTGAGTTTGTTGGAACTTCTATTTATTGTTGTTCAACTTTATTTCGTACTCAATAATTGAAAATTATTACTATTCCCTGCCACTATTTAACATATAATATGTATGTGTCTGAATCCTAATTAAATTGTTGATCTCAATTATTTAATGCACGTAAATTAAAACGGGGTAGATAATAATGAATACTTCATAATCATAATCATAATCAAAGAGTATTATAATTTTTTTCTGTAAACATGTTAATGCCAGGTAAATCATCCCAATCTAGCCTAAAATTCCACAAATCATTATAATGAAAATGAAATCCCATTATTGTCATTGAATCACTAGTATACCGAAATCGCCAATGAGATCGTACCTCAATATAGGGAAAAATACATAACTACAATACATTAAAAATACGATTTCACATTTACCAAATTTATTAAATAATTTCAGAAATCAGTTATTAAATCATTAAAAACGTAATGCTAATATATAATTATCTTTCTATATAATCACTTTAAATAACATTTCTGTTTCTAATTCTCCACTTTGATTGGCCTTTCAAAATGAGAAAGTAATCTCAAATGAGAACTGGCCCCAATACTAATTTATAAATACATCAAGTTTAATTAAATCTTACTAATACCTGATTTATGGAATGTAAAGTTTCATATCTTATTTTTGAAATGTAAAATTTAAAGGTATGAATTTGCTTAATTTTCCCCACGCCATTCAACTCTCGATCTAAAATTTTCTGGTCCACTACACAATTTCTTTCTTTCCACACCATTGCTGAAACTGTGCAAGTTTATTCCAAAGAACAGTTCATTGTTTCAAATGTTGGCTTATTTTGAATATTATCTTTAAAATAAACCACCATCCAAACATGTCATTACTACATAATCTAGCAAACTCATAGCATATATAAGCAAAAATCTTCTCATAAAAACAATAAATTCAACAACATTAAACACAACAATATCCTCAGATCCACAAGATCTTCTATATACGACAACGAGTAATCGCAGAACAACCCCTAGTATAAGGATTAACAGGCCCTCTAGCTTTAAAGCAGTTATGAGTATAATAAGACCTCCCAGAGCGCGGTGGACATGGAATTCTGTTAGCCGAGAGCGCGCCATACGAAATATAGTACTTTATTCTGTGCCAAAACAAAGATCTCCTAGTACCCAAATCGTCTTCTTGTCCTTCTTCATTAAATTCTCCGAAATCGCTCTCGTAAAACGACATCCCCATTGGCCATTCAAGTGATGCATCAGTCGGAAGTTTCAAGCTGGGTTCCTCGGACTGAGATGAAACGTGCGAGTTGAGTGCGATGGAAATGAGAAGAACGAAGAAGAAAAACAAGGGTTTTGTTGAAGAGTTCATTCTTCTGGAAGTGTGAGAAAACTGAACGGTGTGTGTCGTTTTGTAGGGTGATAAGGCGAGTTAAGGGTGGTGGGGACGAAGCTCACATGCGGTGAAGAGCGTTACAGCTT